TATTTATTATACCCCTGACAAACAAAGTTTTAGGGGGTATACTGGAGACAGCCAGTCAGTCAATCTGTTGCAGATTTCTTGTCCAGGACATAATTCTGAAACTACAAGAGATATCAACTTTAATTTTGATAGATATCATTGAGTAGGAGTGCAGTGCAAAAGAACTTTAAATCTGCCTTGCCTAATTTTTGGAGTTATTGCCCTTTGTTTATTTTTACACTTTGAACTTTGTCTGGGAAACTCTGAAACCACAAGGGGTAACAAGAAACTTTGTAGGTTGATAGATCTCATTGAGTAGAGTGCAATGCAAGAGAACCGTTACTCCGCCTTGCCTGAAATCATGCAAAGTTGCAATTAAAGAAAAGTTTTAGCCTGAGAATTCAACTATAATATGCCAATAATGCAGGCACTGAAAGTGTTTATAATCACCATTTTCTTTCCTTCAAAATGGCAAGGAAAGATTAATTTTGTATTCAGTCATAAACTAACGGTAAGCATGCTTTAACTTTATAATGTTACTGTTTCACTTGGGAGAAATATCAGTAAACAAACAAAAAACGTAAAAATATTGTTTTTATTTCAACATCTATCACATGTTATTTATGACAAATATTAAATTCACATTATATAATATACTTTTAGTGACATATCAGTTTTATTAATGAACATACAAGTTAAAATGAATACATGTTTGTATATCTTTTTTTATTATCTACAAATAAAACATCCTGGAGAAATGAGACACTGGTTACAATACAGCAAAACTCCAAACATTTGGCACAACAAAATATAGGACATATATGTATATACATTATGGTTAATTGATGTATACTTCAAATACTATAGAGAATGACTATTTTGTTACATTTATTAATAATCTCTTACCACACTAAATATCTTAAATGGACTTGTCTATCTTTCAATCTGGATAAAACCATTGATAAATCTTTACAGAAATTTTTAAAATAAGTTTTAAATGAATAGCGAATAATGCAGACGATGAGCAGATGGCAGCCAGCAAAGGTACATGATGAGCTTGCAGGTAACAGGTTCCCTCCACATACAACACCTGGGCTTGCTACACTTTATCACTTTGTCATGATACTCTATTTGTAATACAGTGGCTTCATGGATGGTGTATCACCTTGGTTACGAAGGACTTTTAACATTCAAAACATTATCAATATATAAAACAAATATCAATTTACAAAACTGTCATTTACACACACAATAAAAAATATAAAATACTAGCAATGTCATTATTCTGGAAATTTTTGCTGTTTTGGTTTGTTTTTTGTTGTTTTTTTTGTGTAAAAAATAACTAAACTCTTGTAATCAAATAACAAGTTGCCATTTATAAGTCTATTTTACTGATAGCAGTAACAATTAAAGTAAACATTAAAATCTCAATACTTTGGCTCCATCAAACACACCAGATTTTAACCTGTCAATATGAAAACTTATACCCTTGGACAGAAACATTTGAGAATTATAAAAAAATATGTAATCTCTTTCTAAACTGGTAAAAGTATGACACTGTCCAATGATGACAAAATTACTCATTTCATTTTTGTGATGGTTTATATGATTATATTATAAAAGAATGATTTCTGCAATGTCTTTATTCACCTCTAACATATTCCAACTTGATTTCTGCTTGTATTTCAAGATAAAGTATCTTAACTTACTCTGTGTACACATCTGCCGGTCTCTCTATCTCTAATATTTTTACAGATAGGTGAGTTCGCAGGTTACATTATAAGAATCTTATACTAACCACAGCTACAGGCTGGACTATAATAGTTTACGGGTAACTGATTCATAAGGCTATATACCCAACTTCCACTGAACAGTTGTCACATTCACATATTCTCATCTATGTCAATAGCTAGTATCCTTTGTCTTGCATTTTACATATCATTTTGCTCGAAATCAAGTAAAGAAAACTAGAATTTTCATTTGGCACTATTTTCTAACAGTAGTTAATAATTTCATTTATGACATAATCATATACACAGGATCGATTCAGATGAAATCTGAAGTCATTTAAAACATGTAGGATGTGTGAAATTACATTTTTCAGCACCACTGCAAACATAAGCAAATCCAGACTGATATGCTAGAAAATTATGTAAATACTTATCAAAGTGATACTGACTGATATATAAGACACAGAATAGTTCAATGTACCTTTAGATCTGTCATGGTACAAGACTATTGTACTACTAGCAGCCTCAGTTTATCATTATGATATGAAAATCCCTCATATTAGTAGTGGACTGTTCCAAAATTAATGTAGAAAAAGGTCATGTACACACACATTAAGTATTGTATAGGTTAAACAGACAGTTACCATAATGATTTACAGATAGTATAAAATTTCAATGTCCCTGGCAGGATCAGACAGCAGTTCGAGGCAAGAGAAGCATGATAAAATTGTAGCTCAATTTCATAAAGTACTGATGTTTGATTTACAAAAATTAACCCTTAACCTGGTAAAATTCTTAAATGGACTTGTCCAGCATCTATTTGTGGAACTGTTAATGGTGGTAAAGGCCGATCACTTTCTGTTCCAGCAGGGCGAAGGTTACCATACCATACCATATATGGACATTTTACACTTTAGTACAAGAGTATATAACTTTTTAATTGGTATCTTAGTGCAGCTGTTGTTAGTGGTTAAACTATAAATATTCTTATTTATTAAATATCTAGATACATGTATTTTATATCAAGTACTATTTATATAACATAACATATGAATGATCAGCCAAAATTAATAAATACACGAATCCTAAGTGACCACCCATAAATTAAATTGCTTTCCAATTACGTTATGTACTCTCACTAGATCAACATACAATGCTATATCTTATACTTATTTCAGCTGTTTTTACGCTGATAGAAGGTTTTGCTTATAAGTTCATTACAAAATCTATCCAAATAATACTGTTACACCAATGTTAGATACACCTCCTCTTAACTGTTCTAATACATTAACTCAGTCCTAGTTTCCTACATGTATTAGCTACACAAGGGGTTACAACTTTGTATCTTCTGATTTAGAATTAACAAGTTCACCATATTCATTGTATGTAGTTTGATCACTGTTTAATGATGGCAAGTTGTCTTCTTCCATTTGTTCTCTTGTCTTAATATCAGAATCTGTATATAAAGCTGGTGATTGGTTTGTATGGAAGACTTGATTAGACCTGTCACCCGATGTACAGCTCTCACATGGGCTCTCTCTGAAGTGATAAAAAAAATGAGGATCTTTACAAAAAAAGAAAAAAATGCTTTAAGTTACTTACAGACAGGGAAATTTCAAGAACCAATTCATTAAATATTTAAATATAGAAAATATATCAAACTACCACCAAAATATTTTAATGAAATATAATATTTTAAAAATGTTTTTTATCCAGTTATCAATAATGAGAACATATAATTATATAGTTTGTTAAAACACACATATTTATATTGAAGGTAGGAGAGAGTGAGTTTCCATACATCAGGTTACAGGTATCTCATATATGATCACATGCTAGGTTAACATATATACACATACACATACGTCTGTCCACGTCCATGCACACAGATGATTACTTTAATAACGTCATCATATTAACACTGCGTGAAGGTCAGGTTTATTGAGAGGATAATTTAGAGGGTTGTATATGGGAAGTCATGCAGTCACAAAATGATATATTCAGTTTATATCAATAAATATTACACTTTGCACCCATGTTAGTACATACAGTGAAAAACAAAAAATAAACAACAATATAGACAAATAAGAATAAAATAAACAATAAATCATACATTTATTGAAGTAAATAAAATAGGATCATTCTGACAAAATAATTTACCATTTATTATTTTCCCTTTTGAAGTAAACCATTCTGTTCTTGCTCCCATTCCTAAAATACTTCCTTTAATTTGTTACTTTTTGTTACATGGAACAGAAATATGGTCAAAAAGTATATGTATTTATAATACGTTATTTCAGTAACATTAATTTCTCTCTATGCTGCCTTTTTAGTTAAATTTCAAGCAGTTTTTGATGTAAGATTTTGTATTTGCCTTCATAGAAACAGATTACTAATCATAACCAAAATAGAGGGAAATTTCATGAAAAGCAATTTAATTAACACCAAACAATGTCTTTCTTTTCCTTCTATACTTCATGCTAATTCTGAGGCTGACAAAGCAGTCAAACATTTTTCCCAATAAACTATTTTATGTTATAAAATGTTTCAGACAAGTATAATGTATATAGATGTACTTCTATATTGCACTTGAAATTTTTAATGTTAGTACGTACATTAGTGTGTAAGATAAAAGGTGGAGAAAGATAAAACAAAAGCCCAGTTTTTAAACATACATATATTTCATGGATAAGTACAAATATCATCAATCATAATTTGTGTTCTGGACAAAAATATCATTGCACATCAGAAAGCAGGACTATATACAGCTTACACTGTTGTCTCAACAAAATAAAATCCTCCTCATATTATCTTTACATAATCTTACATTAACAAACATGAAGATTCTATAATAATGCCAGTTTATATTAATTATCATGTAAAATGAGGAAATAACAACAAAATAATTCTTTGCTATACGAAAAAGAAGTAATAAACATTAACAGCAAAATCTATATTCATTAAAACTAATGTTTAACTTTAAAATTAATTCTAGATGGCGTAATAAAATCATCTGTACACTGGATCTTCTGGTAAATAAAAATGAACATAATTTTCTCAGTCAATTTCAACCATGATTGATTTACTAAAGATTAAAAAAAACATCATATTAGTGTAAAATCATCATATGAGCCGCGTCATGACAAAACCAACATAGTGTGTTTGCGACCAGCATGGATCCAGACCAGCCTGCGCATCCACGCAGTCTGATCAGGATCCATGCTGTTCGCTATTAGTTTCTCTACTTGTAGTAACGTTTGTAAGCAAACAGCATGATCCTGATCCTGATCTGGTCTGGATCCATGCTGGTCGCAAACGAACTATGTTGGTTTTGTCATGGCGCGGCTCATATGTTTAGACTGCAATTTAAAGGAAATATGAGACAACCTGTTAAAATGTCAGTAAGTGAAAGACGAGATCCGAAGAAAATATTACAAATTTAACGGCTGATAAATATTAAACTTTCAGTAAAATGAGTGTTACATTGCAAAAGGAACAATACACGTCTGTGTCAGAGACAAGAAAAAGATTTTAACAAAATTAACATAGCATAGTGAATTATCATCAAAATAAGCAAGCAAATAAATTGAACAAGATGCTTAAAAAAAATCTCATATTCAAACATAGTCTGACCTTCCTGTTGCGAGGCTACAGCCATTTTAGCAATTAAAAACTATTTAATATATTAAGTCTCACTTAAGATTTCTCCAAAATATATTTCTAGCCAACAATTGAATAAATGCATCAACACTCCAATTTTTCCTCTTGCTAACTTAATAACGAGACAGGTGTCCATATACCTAATGAATAATAGAATTACCATTAAAATAAACCCTATATATTCTTGTTTAACTGCACTAACCTATCATTAAAGCAACAAAAATTCATTCACAATGGTATATTACTGAACATAGGAAAAATCATAATTACTTTTCATTAGAAAAAATATCAGTCAGCACATACAGTTTGATATAGAAGCTCAAGTGCTAGTATGATAAATATATGGGATTTCAACAAACATGATATCACTTATATACATGTACTGTATATCATGTATGTTAAATGCAACTTCAAATAAGAAGTTAATATTCCAGTTTTATAATAAATATATCAAAAAGTCTATATAACAGACATCTTATTTAGTGAAATACATGTACTTAATAAATTCCTTTAATTGACAGCACATGTGGTAATAAATAAATCAGCAAGCTACAATAAAAACATAAAATTTTAAACAAGGTTTTAATGTCAATTTTTTAAATGCATCTTTGTCATTGGTCAATTTCAAACTCAACCTTGAAATTAACCAATCGCATGATTGTTATTTATAAACTTTTTATATCATAGTTAAGATCAGAAAATAGATATTTATTAGCTACAAACTGATGGAAGCAAATACTTGTAAACCTATAAAGTGACTCTTAGTGCTGCACATTGCTCCTTCAATATGACAAAACAAACATGAAGCAAATTCCGAGACAAATCTTGGCTAATGATATCTTGTGTACCCTATTTACAAATCAATATAAATACAAACAAATCTTTGGTTCACAAACCGTTTAAATTATTTACTGTGTATAAAAATAATAAACAACATATACATGGTTAACTTAATAACAACATTAAAATAAAGATAATTTCTATATCTTGCACTATGTATAAATAATAACACTGTTTAATATATTTATTCTAGTTTACATTCATTACCTATATAACAAATACAGAAATTTAACACTTTTTTCAACAGGTTATCAATGAAAATTTCCCTGAAAAGACAAATTTCTTAAATATGCCGATTGTTAAACAAAGTTCCTTCAAACAATGGAAGCCATAGGGAACTTTCTACTGAATTCTCAATTCAATTGTCAAATTCAAATCATAATCAACACTTTACAAATTGAATGCACAAGCCTTCAAGAAAACTGCAGATTTTAACTGAATATAAAATTCATATTCTTTATTTATAAAAAAGGCTAAAACAATGAAAATTTTTTAATAACATTTTTGACATTCTTTAAACACATGCAATGATAAAAACATAAGATTTGACAGGTAAAGATCTGTAAACTCACACTGCAAAAAAATAACTTATAAACATGCTTTTGTCAAAATGCTTACTATACAAGTATTTGGGTTCAAGAGAAAATAATCAATCAAATAAATTATAACAGAAATAGTTAATAAACATGAACAAGATTTTTCTTTCTATTGAAAAATGTTTAAATTTTATTTGATTTATTGACACCCAAATACTTTCCTATAGTACCAATAAGTTTTGAAATCCACACATGGAATAACCAGAAAATTGTATAAAGGACATCCAATCACAGCAGAGGTTACAAATCTTACCACTTTAAATGTAACAACGTTGTTCATTGGTCACACTAATGTACTCAATGTGTCAAATGTAGGGTAACACTCAATCCTGTGAGGTGACCTGTTAGTACAGAGTCCAGTATTATATCAAATATATCATCTAGAATGTTATATATCAGTGAATAAAGAAAAATTAATATTGTATCTGTGACTCATTGCTGGAGACAATTTTATGGATATTTTTATTGAAGTTTTAAAGAACAAGATGTCTTGGGAAACAATCACTAAGGGTCATCTATTGGCCATTGCATTTGCAATGGAACTATCAAGCTTACACTCCTAAGATCATTCACTTAAATAGAAAATGAAATCATTACATTCATTATTACAGAAAAGTTTACATACATGTACTTTTAACTTAAACTGCATAATTTTCTTTAACAAAGTACATGTGTAAAATGTTTTACAGAATTTTCTTCAGAAAGTAATTAATTTTAAACTAATATGGCATTTTAGTATACATGTATATTATGTACTATAAATAAATGCAGTGTAAAAATCTTGAATAAAGAAATCCAGTGTCTTTACTTTTATATGTTAATCAGACAAACAAGTCAAACAGTAAAATTGAAGTTTGGGAAAAAGGTTTGCTGGAAGTCTTACATTTCTCCAACATGCTTAAATATAACATACCATATCAAATAAAAGTTTCAACTGTATATCAATTAATGTTTTAAACTCTTGAACAGAATGTGCCCTATGAAATATTCTGCCTACAAAAATAATTTTCTAACAACAATGATTGTCTTAAGGACAATATAAAGGTAAGTTCAATTTTAAACTGTCAACAATTTGCCGAGATATCAAAAGCGACTACAACATTGTATATAAGACTTGGAGAAATTATAACAGTTCCAGCTTCACTATATATCTTAGCAATACCATATTCACAGCTTATATTGTAACCTTAGAATTGCTGAAAATAAAACAGAAATCAAATGTTGAAGTTTCTAACACTGATATAATCATATACATGTTATAACATTTAAATACTGTGTCTGTAAGCAATAATTATAAATGTGTCCTTATGCCTCCACTTCATGTGTCTGCCACAGTGGCACATTTACATTCTTATGTATATTTCATAAAAGTAAAGTGCTTTATCATAAGTAAGTATTATAACAAATCTATGACTGAGAGAATTCTAGAAATTGAATAGACAAGGACTTTACATATAAGTTACCTTGATAAAATAACCTCACAATCACTAAGGGTCATCTATTGGCCATTGACTATGTAACTATCAAGTTTAACAAACCTTGCCTTATTTTTCTCATATTATTGATTGAACAAGAATGTTACACTACATTTCATTGTGAACTTGACCTATGACCTCAAAATCACAAGGTCACCTTCTGTCCATAGGCAATGTCCCTACCAAGTTTCAAAACCTATGAGGCTTATATTATTATCTTGAAATTTAATTATCAGACAAGGATTTTACACAGTGTCATTATGACCTTTGACATTATGACCTAAAATTGCTAGAGATCATCTAATGGCCATAGGCAATGTCCCTACAAAGTTACATAAACCACAGGCTACAACTTCTCAAAAATGTTACCCTGTAAAATAGATAATTTATAATATATCTAAACAAAATTTTAAACAGCTTTTTGAAAGTTTATATTATTGATGTATTAGTTTTTCCTCACAACATAATTATTGTGACCAAGTCCACACATCATGTATTACTGCCATCAAAATGTAACAGTCAAAATTTGAGACATTTACAAATCGGGACTTCAATAAAGTATTTATAAACTACAGGATATAATAATATTACAGTTCTGTCAAATTGAGATGTGAAATTACACAATTGTGTACAATAAAAAATGTCTAGATAAATTAGTTTAAATATATGACATTATAAAAATGAAAAATTAAATAAAATATACTTGAGACAATCTTCATTTAGAAGTATATGTTTGAGATTTCTAATATTTTACCCTGTTATAAGTCTGATCATAAAATAAATCAACAGAAAAATGTAATTGAGCCGCGCCATGAAAAAACCAACATAATGCTTTTGCGACCAGCATGGATCCAGACCAGCCTGCACATCCATGCAGTCTGATCAGGATCCATGCTGTTCGCTATAAGTTTCCATACTTGTAATAGGGTTTGTAAGCGAACAGTATGGATCCTAATCAGACTGCGCAGGCTGGTCTGGATCCATGCTGGTCGGAAATGCATTATGTTGGTTTTGTCATGGCGTGGCTCAATTATTAAATAACAAATTGTTATAAAACTGACATATAATTCTGATCACTGTGTTTTATAGCTGATAAAATTACCCTTGTAAAAGATCATTCTAAAACATGTATGGTTTTCTAAAGTCATACAAAATTTGTGTTTCTTACAAATCTATATATCAGTGTTAAACTGTATGTTGACATAACATAAATAATTGTTTAGGGGGTAGGGTTTTAAGTCGCACCAACACTTTTAAGTTCATATGGCCACTTTCCAGCTTTGATAAATAATCAGTACAAGGTTTCACTACATAATATATCAAGAAAAGGGTGTATAATATATAACATTTTCTTTGTATTGCTATAACAGAAATGCTCGTACACGTTTTGGCATATAAAGCACTATATGTGTGTTATTGGGAAGATGGCACAAGGATGTTTACACACTGATATGTTGTGTAATATCACATACATGTATACATTATGCTAAATGATATTTTATACATGTACACATTAATTTATGATACATGATTTTATATGATATAAATGAACATTGGATTAGCACTATCTTTAATGACCGCTGATAAAAAAAATATGAAAACATAATAATCTTTAACTGAATATTTCTGTATCACATGACAATGATAACATAACCATTACACTGCTAAATATAGCATGTAACAATTGTTATAATCAACATTTGATGTGTCATATCATCTCTTCACCGCTTATCCCTGATAATGTACTACATACGAGAACTATCCTTTTTCTCTCTTAACTCTTACCCCTTATAATGACCAACATACCAAAAACTATCAGAGTTCTCTTCTCAATATGTTAAAAAATAAGTGTACAAACCATATGTTAGAGGCCAATGTGAGGACATTTTACAAACTGTTTTACAGTATCTTTAAAAATCATCCATTTCATTTTCTTTTATCTATTTCTTGTTGAACTAGAAACCTAAACAGAAATATTCAGTTAGAAATATATGCTATAATCATTATGACTAGTCTTGGGTACATGAAATACAAGAAAATCTGCATTATTTGCAAACAAAATATCCTAACACCTTGCTTACCTAATGATAAATCTTCAAAGACAATTACTTGTATATACCTTTCAATATATCTAATTATCTTTGTGAATGTATCTATTAACTTAAAATATCTAAAATTCTCTGAATATTCTGCATCAGCGATTATACTAATAAAGTTACCCCATCCCCAATGCCACAATTTGGATTTCAGAAAATGAGCTTTATTAAAAATCATTACATATTTTAGGTTATACGATAATTTAAATAAGAACAATAAAAGTAAATATGAAGATAGCTGAATAATGTTGAATACATATTGATTAAGAAATCTTGTTGAAATAATGCGACAAATAAAAATTTACTGAAAAATATATTCTTTGATTTTTGTTCATCAGCATTATTATTTTTGTAATTTTTTTATAAAAAAACAAACCCAAAGAAGATCAGAATGTATCAGATACATGATTATCTGATTATCTAATATTATATGTTTGAAAACTAAACAAAGTTCAATGTATATAAAAACCATGCTTATAAAACTACCGTTCCGGTATTCATAATACTTTCAACCATATTGGATATACGTAATATTTGAGAGAAAAAAAAAATCAACATGTAAAACATTAGAATACATCTTAAATGGAGGATATGTAAAAAATGAGGGGGTTATAACACATTAGTGTAAAATAAAATCTTCTTTAAACTACAATGTAACACTATTATAAAAAGCAACAACAAAAGTACTTCTATACAAGGAAATTAACAGGAAAATAACAATAATCTGATTCTAGAAATAAGTACGTGCCCAAAAGTTCACATTAAAACTTCACACAAAAATGCCAACTTCAGATGCAAGTCAATGAGAAACCAGTATAAAAACTGGTATTTTCAAATGATTGTCAAAACACTTTGATCAATGGAGTGTAACACTCCTGATTATATGTCCATTTGTCGAAGGAATTATCCTCTAACTGTACATGTTCACTGTCCAGTTGCCTGACTAGAGGGGGTATTGATGAATATTTATATCACATGGATCCAGATAAATGTACCAGATAAATGTAGGTACACTCCATTACCAGGGAACAGTTTACACAATGGCACAAATGTTTCTACATACTCACATTAAATGCCAATGTAATATCACTTTCAAACCAAGTTAATATGGAAAATAAAATGACAATGCCAGAGGTATAGAATTGAACACTTCAATTATCTTTGCTGATATAAAAGGTCACAGAAAGATTTCCAGTACAGTTTGTCTATTAATGAAGAAAATAAAACCAGACATGAACTTCTGTTTTCAAAACTTCTGTCAGTTTCTGTGCCACTTTAGAACTGTTTCCTCTTTTAACATAACACAAACATCTGGAGTAAATTCCTTCTTTTGACAATGACATAGAGTATTACCACCATTGTGTATCAAATTCCCTGGTTACAGAATTAAGATGAGAGATTCTATATATAGAGATTGATATATATATATATAATGACTGTTGTTCTCATATTAAATCAAGATCAAGTCTATCTGCCTGAAATATAGCAGCTCTATAACTATACCTATCTGAAATGCTGTGCTGCACCACTCCTGTCTTTTTCTGACCAGGGGAGGTAAATGAGTGAATGGCTGGATTAACTCCCTTGATTCCTTCTTCATCTTCACCAATAGCTGTCTCTACCAGAGAGGGTTCAAGCTCTGGGTGTGAAGTAAGCCGAGATTGCAGCAGGTAAACGTATGTTTTCAAGCGTCCAATCTGTTGAAGAATTTAAATGTTTATAGACAACTAATATAATAACAATAGTGTGAAACAACTACCTACATCAAGTAATCCCGACAACTAACAAACAACAGGATTTATACTTGACTCTTATATCTTTAATTCAAATTTTAAATAAAGAGATTATCATCTTTATTTAATGAACAAACATGATGATGGTTTTATAGAAATTAATTTGGGAAATAAGAATTTTTCTTTATTGTTTATCAAGAAAATCTGAAAATGAGAACAAACATGTAAATGCATTGTTCATATCAACAAATACATCAAAGAACTTATTAATTATCAGTGTCAATTTAGAGTACTTCTAACTAAATGAGTTTACATTTAGCAAGAAACATTACATTTATGCCTAATATTTAAGTAGAAACCAAAATTCAACATGAAATATTGACTTCCAGGAAAGTAGTGAATTCCTAATATACTTCCCTATCTTATTTACTGCCTCTCCCATATTGGTAATTAATAATTGTCAATTTACAGTCTTTCAGAAGACAGTTTTTAATGTGTTTATAAATGCTGGGATACAGCACGTCTCTTGAGATATTAAAGAAATAAATACAAATAATATATCAAATAATGTAAGTATACATTTCTTGTAAACACACTTCAAAGTGTGTGATATAAATGAGGACTAATTGTATACCTCATATATGTGATAATTCTCTTTCTCCAGGAAATGCTGTATTACACTAGACTTTGATCCTTTCTCTGGCGGAAATTTTCTGTGTTCTTGTAAATCTAGTTCTGTCTGTTCCAATCTCTCCTCTATACTTCGTAACTGATCTTGCTATAATACCAAACATAATGATTCTATAACAGTAACTTTAGTCATTTTGACAGTCAATGTGGTAGTCATTTTGTAAAGGTTAAGTAAGGAATATCAGTGATACAAGATTTCAAAGAAGAATTATTGGCTTCCCTACGTATGTATATAAAGTTTATGAAATACAAGGTCTACATTTACAAAATGGTCTAAAATTAAAAACTGTTTAAGATAATACATTATTCTTTTATTTCTCTATTCTTTTATTTCTCTAAGAAAATGTTGACCGTCATGTGACTTCTGTTAGTCATGTGACAGATTTAGTCATTAGTTTATGACATAATGACACAGCAATAAAATCATATTGATATCTACTTACCAGATTTAAGCGAGTATATGAGGCTGGTAAAAGAGGTCGCTGAAACTTCTTCTGAGAACCAACGGCACCTGGTAATGGTGGCGCCGATAAGATTGCCGCTACATAATTTAACGTATCTATCCATTCTTGGCACTCTTTAGTGTTTGAAGTTTGAAATAAATATTCTGCCCAGTCGGCAGTCTGTAAACGGAACACATGTTGCTTTTTGGTATAGTCAGAGGCCTTTGAGGCTAAACAATGGTGGACACGAACTGCATTATGAGAGCTAGTGTTCGTAGATTTCTTCAATGCCTGTTCATCTTTATAAAGGTATAAAATCATGTCTCTTAGTACAACATAATACATCTTCCAACTTCTCTTTCCAACAGCAGCTGTAACAAACAACATGTTACGTTTTAATAATCTTTATTATTATTACATAGTCCTTAAACAGAATTGAACTAAAATAAATCCTGCCCCCCCACCCCCATTATTGGTCATCATTTCAGAGAAGAACCAGCAACTTCCTTGAGAGCAGTGTACGGTTAATAATCCACTCAACTTGAACCACTCAGCTGAAAAGAACACATTTTTTGATGTCACTCAGTAAGATCATATGGTGACTTTCCAGCTTTACTGGTGGAGGAAGACCTCAGGTTGCCTTCCATACATTTTTTTCAGGCACAAATTGGCACCTGAGTAGAACCACCTACGTTCCACAAGGTAGCTTGATAGTTTCCTCACAAGACAGAATCCAATTTCCCTGAAGGGATGTTTCGAACCCATAGCAGTGAAGGGCATGTGGTTTAAAGTTAACGACCTTCACCACTAGGCCATGGATGCCCATAACAACTTCTTTTATTCTTTAAATGTATAAAATAGTAAACCAGGAAAATTAATGTCATTTATAAACTTCTGTTCTGGTGAAACATACAAAATGAAATGATTATTTATGTAGCTATTTAACATCATGACTTATGGTAATATATAAAAGTTATAGAATACTTTTCCTGCCATCAGGATCTACACAACATTTCCTCATGATATAACCTTTCTTATACTCTGTTGTTTGGCTGGGATCAGGAACCTAAAATATACAACATAAACATACTGTATGCATCTTTTTTTCATGTAGATAAATGCTACTTTTTGTAAGCCCCCTCGTACAAATCAGATAGCCTCGTGTTTCGATGCTCTTTCTAATACTTATATTGTTGATATTTTACAAACACAACTAGAACAATAAGAAAATCTTAAGATTTTGAGATTCTACAAAAGTTTGAAATACTTTCAACAAATATCTTTGCTTTTTTGTAATTCTGTGTAAATTTGAAAACTGGAAAAAAGTAAAATTCAATTATACCATTCTGTCTGTAAATTTCCAATCATTTACAGAAAGATAATGGGTGTAGAAATGGTATAATTGTCTAAATTACATTAAAACCATCTTACTTGTGTAAATGTCTTGATGATAAAGTAGATTTGAGGAAAGATAATGTTTCACTTACAATAACAGGCAGGAAAAATTTTAGTATTTAAAATAACTGTTGTTGTATAGCCCACTGAATTACAATTACAAACAGTATCTCATCAGAATGTCTAGGATATACATGAGTTTATTAGACATAAAGGAAAGGGCAAAATACGTCAAATATCATTAAACAAGATATGTTTGTAAAACATGTATGCCCCCTATCAGCAGCCAATTATTCATGTGATAAGGTAATTATGCATGACTTCTGACCCAGTGATCAAACAATTAATAAGGGTTATCAAGTATCTACTGGTCATGACCTTGACCTTTGACCCCTTGACCCAAAACTAAATAGGGGTCATCTGCTGGTCAAGACAAATCATCATACAAAGTTTGAAGTTCCTAGGCCTAAGCGTTTTTACTTAATTGATCAGAAACCGTTTTTACTTACAAGGTCAATGTGACCTTGACCTTTGACCCCTTGACCCCAAAATCAATAGGGGTCATTTGCTGGTCATGACTAATCACCATGCCAAGTTTGAAGTTCCTAGGCCTAAGGGTTCTTTTATTATTGATCCGAAACCCTTTTAACATACAAGGTCAATGTGACCTTGACCTTTGACCCCAAAATCAATAGGGGTCATCTGCTGATCATGACCAATCACTATGCCAAGTTTGAAGTTCCTAGCCGAAGTGTTCTTTAGTTATTGATCAGAAACCGTTTTTACTTACAAGGTCAATGTGACCTTGACCTTTGACCCTTTGATCCCAAAATCGAAAGGGGTAATCTGCTGGTCATGAACAATCACCATACCAAGTTTGAAGTTCCTAGGCCTAAGCGTTCTTAAGTTATTGATCAGAAACCGTTTTTACTAACAAGGTCGATGTGACCTTGACCTTTGACCCCTTGACCCAAAACTCAATAGGGGTCATCTGCTGGTCACCACCAATCATCATACAAAGTTTGAAGTTCCTAGGCCTAAGCGTTTTTAGTTAATTGATCGGAAACCGTTTTTACCTACAAGGTCAATGTTACATGACCTTTGACCCCTTGACCCTAAAAACAATAGGTCATCTGCTGGTCATGACCAATCACCATACCAAGTTTGAAGTTCCTAGGCCTAAGGGTTCTTAAGTTATTGATCGGAAAGCATTTTTACCTACAAGGTCAATGTGACCTTTCCCTTTGACCCCTTAACCCCAAAATCAGTAGGGGTCATCTGCTGGTCATGACCAATCACCATACCAAGTTTGAAGTTCCTAGGCCTAAGGGTTCTTTAGTTATTGATCGAAAACTGCTTTTACCTAAGAGGTCAATGTGACCTTGACCTTTGACCCCTTGACCCAAAATCAATAGGGGTCATCTACTGATCATGACCAATCACCATACCAAGTTTGAAGTTCCTAGGCCTAAGGGTTCTTTAGTTATTGATCCGAAACTGTTTTTACCTAAGAGGTCAATGTGACCTTGACCTTTGACCCCTTGACCCAAAATCAATAGGGTCATCTACTGATCATGACCAATCACCATATCAAGTTTGTAGTCCCTAGGCCTAAGGGTTCTTTCGTTATTGATCGGAAACCGTTTTTACATACAAGGTCAAAGTGACCTTGACCTTTGACCCCAAAATCAATAGGGGTCACTACTGATCATGAGCAATCACCATATCAAGTTTGAAGTCCCTAGGCCTAAGCGTTCTTTAGTTATTGATCGGAAACCGTTGTTACCTACAAGGTCAATGTGACCTTGACCTTTGACCCCTTAACCCCAAAATCAATAGGGATCATCTGCTGGTCATAACCAATCACCATACCAAGTTTGAAGTTCCTAGGCCTAAGGGTTCTTTTGTTATTGATCGGAAACCGTTTTTACCCAAGAGGTCAATGTGACCTTGACCTTTGACCCCTTGACCCCAAAATCAATAGGGGTCATCTACTGATCATGACCAATCACCATACCAAGTTTGAAGTTCCTAGGCCTTAAGGTTCTTTACTTATTGATCAGAAACCGTTTTTGCTTACAAGGTCAATGTGACCTTGACCTTTGACCCCTTGACCCAAAATCAATAGGGGTCATCTACTGATCATGACAAATCACCATACCAAGTTTGAAGTTCCTAGGCCTTAAGGTTCTTTAGTTATTGATCGGAAACCGTTTTTGCTTACAAGGTCAATGTGACCTTGACCTTTGACCCCTTGACCCCAAAATCAATAGGGGTCATCTACTTGTCATGACCAATCACCATACCAAGTTTGAAGTTCCTAGGCCTTAAGGTTCTTTAGTTATTGATCGGAAACCGTTTTTGCTTACAAGGTCAATGTGACCTTGACCTTTGACCCCTTGACCCCAAAATCAATAGGGGTCATCTACTTGTCATGACCAATCACCATACCAAGTTTGAAGTTCCTAGGCCTAAGGGTTCTTTAGTTATCACTCGGAAACCATTTGGTCTACGGACCGACGGACCGACGGACCGACAGACCGACGGACCGACAAGTGCAAAGCAATATACCCCCTTTTCTTCGAAATGGGGGCATAATAACCTTTAACGTATCATGACAATATAACTGTCTTATGTAAGCAGCCATATTACGAGAGCCAGACTTATTTTTATCATCTTTCATTACAAGTAACAGTATCATATAGAAATAATTACTGAGGTAAAAATTTTACCCCCTGCATCTCAACATTATTTCATCCTCAACATTTATATACATAGTCTGATATTGTTAGATAAACCATCCTTATTGATCCCCAGTCAATATTAATGTAAGTTTTTGTACATTGTGATTTATGTACAAAATAAACTTCTCTTTGAGACTAAAAATAATTTTGAACTTTACATTTTAAGCATTAATGAATTCTGAATGCTACACTTACATCACCAACAGTATAGAATCTGGTAGCTATGACAAGCATACTGGCCTGGTTCTATAATTGTGTCATATGCCATTATCCTTGTACGTTTTCGGAGATAATTTGTGTTAACTTACATCAAGAAATGGGTTCCTGCCCACTACAGGTGGAAGGTTTGGAAGACTAGGAGTTGGTTGAGGCTGTATTGGTCTCTGATCATCACCCACTGTAGGACCGTTATCTTGAAACTCATCATCACTAACAATACAGCATTTATAACATGTAAATAATAACATCACATTATAGTTATAGTTACAACAAAATATGACAGGTTTGATTTCAAGACCTAAAATTCATTTAATGAACCATAAAAACTCAAGGATATTAAAATTGTTTAACATCTTTGAAATCAAACTCTTAACAAAATTTTGTGTATAACAGAAATGTATGAGAATTAATGCATTTTTTTTCTCACATATCCATTTCTTTGGCTCAAATATAACCATAACCTATCTTTTCTATAATAATTGAAGTATGATATATTTAAATATGAATAAATAAGATAAACAAAATGAAAATTTGATTAATCACTGATGAAACAAAATAATCCAAAGACTCGGTAGGCTACATGTCAAGCATTTTTCTACCAATGACCTTGACATAGATCTAGATAATGAGATGAGTGTTTCACACTTTTACAAAAACTTCCTCGTTTCAGCACAATGTTTTTATAATCAATGCCATATTTGCATAACTTTTATCATACTTTCATTACAAAAAACAAGATATTTCAATTACTTTAAGGATAGATTTGGTATGATGATGATGATAAATCAGGATATGAATATACTGACATTAATTCCTACAGATGTCTATCATCAGACTGTCTACTTGTTTGTCAATTTATGACCAGCATCTAATCATTGATCACATTTTTGTAAATCTCATCCCCGATCTAACCTCATAAAACTCAGGAATAATTTACAAATGAAGCTCCAATTGAATAAAGATACTGTACTTTATAGGCATCAGGGTCAGTGTTATTTCAGTATTTTCAGGCTTGTGTTTTTGGTTCTTGTTTTATCAATAAGTATAACTTACGGTGCCCATTCAATGGGTTCAGCTTTTATAGCATGATAGAGTGCCTTTAGGACTTCCTTTGGGAAGTTTTCCCCATCATTTAACTCTGCGAGATTCTCTATAAACTCATTACATGTCATTTTTCTGCCAACAGCCTACAATACATCATATAACAGTTTTTACATCATCTCAAAATAATGACACATGCTTAATTATAGCTGATGAATAATTACAATATTTCTTCCACTTCTGCGGTCATCTATGTTAATGCTTTTTAATGAAGCATACATATTACTGAAGACAGTATTCTCATGCTATTGGCAACATTTCTCATTCAAACATACAGGAAACCTACTGCTGCTTTTATACAACTCTATACAGTGGTCAGGACATATGTCATTTGGGGCCAGCATAGTTTAAATCTGATTCAATTATGATAAAGGATAACAATCAAACATAAGACCATTAAGGTTGCCTAGTCTGAAATAATTACATGTACATACATGTTTATCTATATAAGTAAATTTCTGATGATATAATTTATATGATAACCAAAAATTTCCAGCTTACCTGGCCATGTAAATCAGTGTTGAGTAACATGATTGCACAAACCAGTGTATGACAAGCATCTGTAAATAAATGGTATAAAATAAAGGGTATAAATAATTTGATATAAGTGTCTATAAGATGTCTTTAACTTATCCCCTCCAGTATTTCATGTCCCATGCTGAAAGTGATAATGGAGGTCATACAGTATATCTTGCTGATTCTTCACCCATAAAATACCATTACAGAAGGAGAAACTGGTGTTTTTGTCACATAAGTAAATTACAAATCATTGTTTCTGCTAAGAAAATGGATAACCTACATGGATAATCAATACTGTAAGTACATTGTTTGATTTAGACATTTCTGACCTAATATTACAGGCTTAGCCACCTTCTGTCAGGTTATGTTTTAGACAATATATGTCAATACAAAATTGCCTCTCAAAAAGAGGTCAAGGGAAAAAGTTAAAAACTATATCATGGGAATATGATAAAACAATGCAACAGTTCATTGCATATGAATATGAAAGTACCAGCTTTCATTAAACAAACAAATGAGCCATGCCATGACAAAACCAACATAATGCGTTTGCGACCAGCATGGATCCAGACCAGCCTGCGCATCTGCGCAGTCTGATCAGGATCCATGCTGTTCGCTTACAAACCCTATAGCAAATAGAGAAACTGATAGCGAACAGCATGAATCCTGATCAGACTGCGCGGATGCGCAGGCTGGTCTGGATCCATGCTGGTTGCAAACGCACTATGATGGTTTTGTCATGACGTGGCTCAAATCAATTTCTCTGCCACATTTATATCTGGAAGATCAATTATTGCTGTTCTCCAGTAAAAAGCATTTTGAAAAGGGAATAATTGAGGCGGAGTGAGGTGGTATTATCAGCAAAATTACACAGTAATTAATCTACTATAATACCACAACTAACATTCAACACATACCACAAAAACAGGAAACATTTCTCTAACAAGCAGCTGTCAGTAATGTAACTTCTAACTGTTATAAAATGACACAACTGTCAGGAAAATATATAAAAAATTCACTTTTCCCTGCAAATTTCTGCAGCATCAATTTCATATTATATGAGATATATATTATATTCACATCCACAGCAAGCTTGATCTGCTGGTTATATTAAACTATGAAAAATATTCAGTTTGTTTTTTAAGAATTTTCTTTTGAAACAGCCCTCAGTAATTCTGGCTTCGAAAATGATAAAAAAAAATTCACTTTTTTTCTAAGACATACAAACATACATATAATTGGTATTTTTTCATTTAAAGTCACCAGACTAAAACTAAATGGTTGGGGGAAACATTTACATGTTTGTGAATTTTAATATCAAATTACATGTAGTAATAATTAGTTTCAATAGTTTTTTTTGTAAATTTGGAAAAGGCAAGATACAACCTTTATTTTATGAAAAAAATTCTATTTTTTCTTCATAATTTTTTTCTGGAGTAACTGTTTTACAGTAGGAAAATTGTCTTCTAGTTAAACAAACAAACTTCATCTGTACAAAAAACATATTCAATAACCATCATTGGAAGAAATCAATTAAACATGCACAGCTTTTTGTTCATTTACTTGAAGAGCATTATTTTCTCAGCTTCTCATGATTTAATTAACGCTGATTAAAACATTTCATGGAAGCTTTATAATGACAAAATCTGTCCCTACTTTCTTAAAGAACATCACAAATATCAATACACAATGTATCAATGTAAGATCTTCACTAAGTTAAACACTTACAGCAATAGAAGAGACCTATACCAGCAGTGAAGAGCCAGGCAAGCTTTGAATTTTATTTTATTTTAAAACTGACCTAATTATAGTATTCTTCTTTTGAACTAACTTCTGCTTTTGCTTTACTAAATAACTTCTACTTTTGTAGTAACTTCTGGTTTTGAAATTGCTTTTGAAATTACTTCTGCTTTAAAAATTAGTAAATTAATTCCACTTTTGAAATTACTTCTGCCATTGAATTACTTCTGCTTTTGAAATTACTAAATAACTTCCACTTTTGAAATAACTTCTGCTTTTGAAATAACTAAATAACTTTACTTTTAAAATAACTTCTGCTTTTGAAATTACTAAATTATTCCACTTTTGAAATAACTTCTGCTTTTGAAATTACTTCCACTTTTGAAATTTCTTCTGCTTTTGAAATTACTAAATTACTTCCACTTTTGGAATTATTCTTCTGCTTTTGAAATTTATACTAAATTACTTCCACTTTGAAATTACTTCTGCTTTTGAAATTTCTTCTGAATATGAAATAACTTAATTATTAATTATTTAATTTTGAAATTAACAACTGAGAATTCCAAATTCAAAGCAGAAAAAGCCCATTAAACTACTTTACAAAATGAAAGTTTAAAGTGTTGGGAAATAATTAAAATGTTCAGTGAATTTTTTTAACAGGAACATACATACATGTAAAACAAAGATAATCTCAGCTATATAAGACTGGCACAATAACATCATACTTCAGACTGTTGGAAACAGAAATTTATTGAAAAATGACTGTAATACTATACAAGTTTATAGCATTGTTGGCCAATAAACATCCCTAAGGGAACACATATTATACAGAAGGTTTAATGCTACCATGGCACTGATGAACCAGAAATAAAAAATATACCTCTAAGCTATATCAGTTTTTAACTGAACAGTGTTATCTTTCTGTGCTCACAATATCTAATACACTCTCATAATTACATATCTAATTCCTGGCTCCTATTCAGAAGTACTACTTATGTTAGAAATAAAAACCCTATCAGTTTATAAGTTGATACATTTAGAAGTTTATAAATTTGAGAACAATAGTTCACTTGAGCACATATCAATCCTAAAGGTAACATCTCAAATCTACAATCATAGTTCATTCAAGAACTTCCTCAGCAAGACTTCAAAAGTTAAGTGTATGTGTATTGTAATTCAGTTTTACAATCTGAGAACATCACAAACATATATTTATCACACACCCGTGCCGATTTTACGACTCCGTAAAAATGGTATTGCATGGCCGTGCATAAATTTTAACGTGACGTCATTAGCATTATACAAACATAGTGTAAAGTGCTAAATGTTAGCGTTATACAATAGGCGCATCAATGAGAAACGACTCTTTTTTCACTTTTGGGTATGTGAAAAATAGAATATTAAATACGTGTAAGTTCATTACTGAATTTATTGAACTCGTCGCCAGAGGCTCGCATAATATAATTTTATTCAACTCGTGCAATCAATTCAGTATTGAACATACACTCATTCAATAATTATCCTCTATGTAGGAATCAAGCTCAGACTGTCTAATTAAGACTACCATTTAAACTCTTCTTTATAAGAAATACAACGTGACCTTAAAAATTCCTTTTATGTACGTTATAGATACATGTAAAGTTTACCTTCAGAGTTATATGTTCCAGGATTGGTCTGGATATAGTGCCGTGAGAAGTGGGCGAGAATCCTTTCCCTCTCCTGTGTCTCCCCGATGAGGGAAAACTGCTTGAGAAACTTGCGTAAGGCCACATCTAGCGTATCACCACTAAAGTCAAAGAACTTGAGGTATTCTTCAGCCACTAATATACTAAAGTCATTCCTGTAAAACATACAATAGTTTTAAAACATCTCCATCAAAAAATATAAAGTTCAGTACATCACTGTCATAATTCAATATACTCAAAGAAAAGTTCTGTCTGAATTTTTATTAATCAAAATTAATAAAATAAATTAAAACAGCTAAAAATTAAAAATTTCACTCTATTACATAAGCATCACAAAGAAATATTTTAATGATTACATTATAAAGTTACTTTAACAAGCAGTTAAAATATAAATGAAAGTTTGTTATTGTAGTATGTTTTTAATTAATCAGTGTTTTTAACAATAAAATTAGTAATACATGTGTATAATAATGAAAACTACTTGAGTTAAGACTTCCTTGTAATCAATAAGGAAAATACATTATAGTTTCTTACTAATAAAGAATTTATCTCATTGTTTGGTTAAAGACACAAACTTTATTTAACAATGGTCATATGAAAATGTAGAGCAAATTGAGAGGTGTGTTTTACATGGAACAATCAAGCTAAAGCTGTGTCACAATGACTTGCTTATGTCAGTAGAAAATGTGAACTGATCAATATAAAAGAAGACAACATAGATAATACAGGATAATATAAATATGTCACAAATACAAAACTTTGTCTCAATAAATATGATGCTAAATAGCAGGACAGCACACTTAACATTTAACCTCCTAAATTTGTGTAATGGAATTGCCGAGCTTTCAAATTGGAACAGTCTATTCAAAGTTTATGGGACTATAACATCAAAATACAAAACTTGACCAACCGGACAGTGTAGTGCCTGTACAGGTTGCATGGAAGTACAGGCTAGCCTGGCTCTATACTGGTGAGAAATGCCAGTTACATTTGGTTACAGCACGTTAGTTTATACAAAATTATTTTAGTTGGAAGCTATAAGCTTATTGAAACACTCTCGAATCCGTTCCTGGAACCAACCAGTACTAAGCAATGAATGTAAAGTTTCTTGCTCACGGAAACAACGGCTTGTCAAAGCAAGTGGTAAGCAATCCTTAGATAACTAGTCTGACGCGTTAACCAATCGGCCACAGCCATCATAAAAATTCTATAATGCTTAACTTTATCATATTCATTTAAATGCGTTTGTTATCTTTATCTGAAAATGTTTAATACTATATAACCAGATTCCTCAAATAAATTTGAATGTGAATTATAATTTCAAATAATAATCACAGTTCATCTAGTATCATAGACAATGATACATACTCAACAAGGAGAATACCAGGTTTTTGACCAACCTTAGAATGCATTATGATGAGGTGGATACCACATACTTGTGTACAAAGTTCTAGTGGCTGTGTCATGAAGGATATGAGGTTTACATAGAGACAATGACAAGACAATATCACACTGAAGTGTTACTGATTCCTAGTAAGGTAAATATCCTTGAGGAGCAGACAATGTCTCATTCTAAAATGATCATTTACATTAATTTTCACAGTTAATAACTAGCAAACTATAAGTTACACAAAAAAGAATTAAAATCGCAAAAAAATGTTTGACCTTGGTTGAGCTCCTGTTTGACCAGAAACACTGGAGCTATATAAAAGGATTTTGCTAACAAGTTATAATAACACAGCTGTACCTTAATAATTTATGAACATATTATGTCAGAGCTCTGATACTACTGATGCAATGGTATTGACAAACTATACTATAAAAGTATTTTAAGCATATCAGGATGGCTGACATATTTCAGGATGGCTGGCAAGGATTTCAGGATGGCTGACAAGCATTTTTAGATGGCAGACATGCATTTAAGGATGGCTGACAAATATTTAATGATGGTTGACAGGTATTTAAGGATGGCTGACAATCATTTTGGATGGCTGACATATATTTCAGGATGGCTGACAAGCATTTTGGATGGCTGACATATATTTCAGTATGGCTGACAAGCATTTTGGATGGCTGACATATTTCAGGATGGCTGATAATCATTTTGGATGGCTGACATGCATTTTTAGATGACAGACATGCATTTTAGGATAGCTGGCAAGCATTTCAGGATGGCTGACAGGTATTTAAGGACGGCTGACAATCATTTTGGACGGCTGACATATTTCAGGATGGCTGACAAGCATTTTTAGATGACAGACATGCATTTAAGGATAGCTGGCAAGCATTTAAGGGTGGCTGATAAGCATGTCACGGTGGCTGATGAAAACAATACACACACATGCAATCAACAATACTGCAGCAATAATAACTCACACATCAACAAACCAAATAAAAGAGTGAACAATTTAACATGTTATTGTTTCATGAAGTTAAAATAAAAAGAAGTATGTATCAATCTTAAGTTAAGCAGAAATATGCAGTACAAGCATGTATTGTGTGGTAATAACAATCAATAATGTGGAGACATTTAAATATATCTATCATTACTAAACACTGTAAACATACATCAGTGTAGAGTTGTCATTTCACAACAGAAATATATACATCCATGTCTGTTTAGTAGAATAATATATGAACATAAACTCCTTGTCAAAAACTAGGAAGAAAATAATATCCTCTATAAATAATCCTGTATTCTAGTGAAGTCTTATTGTATAGAACACTACAAGACTTGGAAAGTTTAATTAAATCTACAGACACTAGGTATACATGTGTTTGTAGAGGTTGTGAAGCTAACTCTACAGGATACTATGTATTATGATTAGAGATCTAAGGGCCAATTAAAGTAAAATATCTGGCAAACCAACTTGCTTTACAATCTAATTAACACCAAGGTCAGTAAGTGGAACTTCTTACACTGATCAATATAACTAGACATGGTGCAGCTTTATAATAATGTGTTTAGTGAGGAAAAAAATCTACAGGAAATATATACTATAAATGTCATAAGTCTTTTCATTATTAGTGTGTATAGGTTATTCAGATTAATTTTCATCCTTTCTGCTACCCTTACAAGTCTTTGTATTTAATTTGGCAATACAAATATACATGTATATTATACCATACAATCAATAATGAAAAATTTGTTTTTTTTTACATGTACATGACTGTCCTGACCCAGTGTCAGAATGACAGCCTTACAGTTGAGAAGTGAAATACTTGTTAAGGTGACCCACAGATAAACTTAAACCCCAGAAGACAGACCAGAAACTGATTTATATAGGGTTAGGGCTTTATAGAAATCAAATCAGAAAGTGATTTGAATAGGAATTTGGTTTTCTTCAAAATAAAGCTGAAAGAAATACCCAGATCAAACTTATACATAAATCATATAAATGTAGGACTTGTTAAAAAGTATTTTCTACAATATAAGTATTCAATTATTGGGTAGTACATAATTCCCTTGACTTTAAGAATTTCACTTGAAGAATTTTCTTTTAATATTAATGAAAACCTCCACAAGTTCTTCAAATATTCAAGTCTTGAGGCTTTTAAAGATCAATATTAGCTCAAATGTCTGTTATATGTTTGATAATGCCAAACAGTTGTGAAATTTTAATCTATCATGGATCTACAGAAAGAAACTGAATAAAATTAATCTAAGTTTACACAGATTAAAATGATCTCAAAATGCTGAAACATCAAGAAAGCTAAAGGTAACTGTTGAAACAAGGCATGGTAAATTTTAACACAGACCTAAGCAAAAAGATCAGCCCATTATATTATGCAAATTCATTGAAACATTCAGGAACTTCTTTTATAGATAACTAAAACAGATGGATAGTTCAAAAACTTGAATATTTGTATTAATATGCATAACAGTCAATAATTAAAAGCTTTAAGAGCAAAAGAGTAAAAATCTAATTTTAGCATTAGTGATTCTTAACCATGACTAGAGTGACCTCTAAGGGGACTTACCAAAAGTATCTACCAACCAAATATGAAATACAGGCTGTTTGAGCAAACTTGTTAAACATTTATTTATAGCACTGGTGACTTTGACCCAAGTTACCCCTGACTACACTACCAAATATGAAGACATTGGTCAATGAAGGGAGATGATGAATAAAATAAACAACAGAGAATTATTGTTCTTGGACAGCACACTTACTGTAACTGGTCTCTATCACTGTGTGAAGTTTTAATCAATTTCCTTTGACAATTTTCAAGTTATTCCCCGAGACAAAAGTGTGACAGGCAGATAGACTGACAATGTGGTGACTAATATCGTGCTCCCTTCAGCCTGGATCATAAATGTAAGCTCCATCTACATATACATTGCAAAGCAAATGTTGATGGTAAGTAATTCCTTTATTAATACTAGCAGTACTACTGACGAGTCTAAATTTAACCCATGGTCACAAACAGACTTTTGTTGGTTGAAAGGTTTTGGTTGTTTTTTTTTTACAATTCTTTCATGAATTCCCTCAAAATATGGACAGTTCTAAAATGGAAATTTGACATGTTCATTACAGGAATTGAGCGAGGTAAAGGTTACAGGAAATGTGTTGTGTGTTGAGCGAGGACATTTATGACTGTATATGGATGCCCGAGGCAGCAATGCCAGGATCATTCTCTAAAACATCAATCAATATCTCTATAAAACATCCAACAATATTACATTTATGAGAAGACGGTGAATTTTCGCAGATTAAGTTTTTTTCTTTAAGTAGTCTCTAAGGTTGTGTGTGATTTGCAGGCTATAATGCTATCATGTCAGAAAAACTCGTTTCTATGATAATTTATGTTCCTACATTTTTACAGTGTGTGTTTTTCATTTTAAAGAGTCCCAAGTCAATGAACTTGATTTCTATCAAAAGAGTTCCAGTAAAGTAATTGGCTGAAATTGTATTGCAGGAACGAAACTGGTTTCGATATTATATAACATTTAAAAATATTGGCAAAGGTTAACAAGTGCAATGATCTAGTACACAGTAAGTATGCTAAACAACAGTATTTACATTAAACAACTATATTTCCATTGTACTTTAGTTTTCATAATTCACCTTTATCTTCAATGAATTCAGATAAATGAAAAATTATCAGCGTAAATACCAGTGATATATCATAATACAAACAAATGGAAAATATAGTATGTCTTATCTTACCTACCATTTTTATAATTAACTTAATTCAGGTACTCTATCAACAATTTACAAAATCTATATCAATCTTTAGGTAGCAGATGTTACAAAACAACAATTTTAGCCAGCATTTATAACAACAAAAACAACAACAGCAATAACAATATTAATAGCAAAACAACATGAATGTACAGACGGAATAAATCCCCTTTTATCATTTAAACAAAATGCTGATTTTCATTATAGATAATAAAATAGGTCTACCTGGTAAAATAATTCCCTTTCATAATCTTAAAAACATTTCTTTCAAATAAAACTTTGAAAAAATCAATTTCACAGTCTGTAGATTTTTTGCATATAGACTGAGCAGGTATAAACAAACAGGTATGAAATTCTAGACTGGTAAATTTGTGAATACACTGTGTTTTAGTACAGGAGATCTTCTATTTTATATAAGAGATCTTTTAGAGCCATAATGTCTTACTGACATGAAAACTTAACCTCAAAAACAAAAACAGAATAGCTCGAGGTTTTCTTGCCATAAAATCTTTGACTTGTTTAGGTTTATGTTTAAAGTATGTATGATATAAGAAAGAATTATCTACTAGCTCAAATAGGTTTTTACAATCCCAAAAAATAAAATTTTAAAGTGTAAAGTAAAATCAAAAATAATGTTTAATTAAGTTTTTTTGTAATTTTTATTCGTAAATAAGTTGTTTGAAATTCAGTTATTTCATTTTAATGAATTTCAGAAAAAAGGTGATCAGCTGCTAATATTTTATGGGCTAGTAGGGCTTATGATTGGAAAGATTTAATGGACCCAACCCAAATTCTGATAGCCATGGGCTAATAGGCTATTGCTAATTTCACAGACTGACCTAAATGTCTCAATATAATTTCTAATATTTCAGTGATGTCATACTTTAACACTGAAACTGCTGAATTCATATAATATACTTTTGACTTTATAAAATTTGGAAATGTTCATATTTGTTCAAGAGATTTCAGTATCATTAAAATAAACTTGAGTAACTTGTGGTTTTTTACCCCACTCAATTGGAAAGTGGCATTAGCGCTGGAGGAATTATTGCTAAAATTGCTAATTTGGAAAGTAAAAAAGCAAGTGTAGGTTTGGTGTTTTGGGAAAACTGCATGACTTGGTAGGCCTCTGTTATATCAGGTGAAAAATCAATGGAAACAAAATGTCTATAGTGTGGTCTTCTAGGCTTCACCAACTCAACATTTAACTACATTGTGTTTCAATAATTACATCTATACATTTTAGTTACAACCTTAAACCTCTGTTTTATTACTTGTATAAGAATGAAAAATGTTAAAAATACAAAAAAATGGAGAAGTTTTAAGTTTTGACTACCCTCAACTTATGTTTAATGTACCATTAACTACAATACAATTTCTTGTTATGTATATTATTGTGATAAACATATAATATTTGAAATATTTAACACAGAATGAGTAAGTGAAATCAAAATAGTCATGACTGTTGTAACAGTGATACAAGCTGGGGATGGTTACAGTGCACTACATGCTTAAATATACACTAAAAACTTGAAAATCTCTTCAGTTTATCAAGGGAGATAACCTGTTAGTGATAACCATTATATATCTAATCATTATCTATATATAACTGTCCATAAAAGTTTGTAAAATAATAATTGACAGTGTAATGAATAATCAATTCACCAAAAAAATAGCAAGTACAAAACCTTTTTAATGATTTCATCTGATAAACTCAAACTGAAAATAGAAATGCTAATCTATGCGTAAACAATACCCTTAAATTATGAATCAGTATTATTTTTCAATATTGCTTTTTAGATCATTCACTTGCTACAGAATAATGTAGTTTGCTAAAGCTGAAATTAAGGACAAGCTGGGTTGTGACCTTAAATTGAGGACCTCTGCACCTGACAGAGTGACTGCAGTTTGTTCTTGCAGCTATAACTTGATTACCGTATCCATTAAACTACATTTAGTCTCAACTTGTAATACAGGATTGACCATTAATGTAGCTTTCCCCTTGACCTGGGAACAAAGTTAGATAACCCTAGATAACACCAATCAAAATATTTCATATCAATTTTAAACAATGATATGTGATCAGACTGTGTCAATATATAACAGTATAAGTGAGTTTACAGACAGGTCAGGTGACTGATAACATCATAATGAAAACTTTCCCTCAATAATCAATATCTTCATACCAAGTATTCAAATTTATAATATTCAGCACTGCCATCGTTCAGGATAGTTCTGAAACAGCAGTTTTAAAGATAAAGTTCTACAAAAAAATACCTTAAATGAAGATGCAAGGGTAGTGGAAGGAAGAAGGGTATCTTACAACTTTATTGTTTAGTTAAAAATAAAGCAACTTCCTTGCTTAACAAATGAGGAAGAGGCCAGGCGATCCTCTATAGCCAGGGTATCCTCTATGGAGGTATGACACCCCCACAAATCTATCCTGTGCTGTTTGTACTCTGTGCTGTATGTACAACTTCAAAATAAAACCAACATCTACCAGTTGGTTTCTGGCTTGTTTAAGTTTTAATCACAGCTTGAATTCTTATAAACATCAGTTTACTTCATATTATGAAATTGAAATGATAAACAAAGAATTAGGCCATCCATCATCATACAATCTTACTCTGAATGTAATAAAAAGAAAAAATCTTATAAGTTGATGTTTCCAGTGCACATGCTTATTAAACATGACCATTAACCTTCACATAAAAATACACCTGTTTTCTGTATATTTCTGTATAGATAATTTAAATGCTCACTTATTATGCAGATATGACGAGCCTATTTATTACAGGTAACACAGGTTTGAATCTACCTGTATTTTTAATTGACTTAATTTCATTTTACCTAATAAAAAAAACATTATAATAATTTCAGAAACATATTTTTGCAGTTATACTTCCAGATATTTTGAAAATGAAAATTGATTAACAAACAGGTGTGGCCACAAACTGCCCTGATTTTCTGAGAAGACAAAACAAAACATTACAAAAATATCTGTACAAGCTGATTGCAGTAAACTAAAAAAAAATACCAACTTAAAATATTGAAGCAAAGCTGTTTCATTTTTGTAGAACACCCATACCATGCTACATGAGTAAACAAGGGAAAGGAAAACAATATTTGGTGTATATATATCATATAAAGCTATTGATGGAAACATGCCCATGATGAGAATGACTGAACTTGAATGCGGACCATAGATACTACAGATATATGCTGAAGTAACATGAATGCTACCCATTCACACCATAGGCAAATATCAAGTACAGTTTTATCTTCCTTAAATACCACTTTCAGGTTTATTTTTATCATTAATCAATCAGTTTTTAGTTTTTCTATAAAACTGAAATATTTTGTAGCTAGCTATAATGCTTTAAAACAGATGAAATGTAAGGATACTAGGATATATTTTATGGGCATGTTTCGCAGTTATCAATGCATCTACAAGATGATAACAGTCCAAGCAGCACAGCACACCATACACAAGAGAAAGACAGAGCAGCATTGATTTAAATGCTTACTTTTTACTAAGGTGCCGGGACACATCTGATTTCCGAAAGCCATCTAGATTATACAGACGCTTTGCAAGTCTCATTGCCGATGGCTGATCCACACTTTTGGCTGGTGGTAGTACAAACAAATCATCCTGGTTTATAACTTCTCCAATTCCATCAAAGTTATCTACATCACCTATACTATCCAAATGTAATTTATTATCAGTTGTCTGAGCACCATTATCAGGGACTTCATCAAACTCCTGAGTTACTTCTTGAGCATGCTTATCATGTACACTATCACTTATGCTATCATTGCTTTCCAGTTTTTCAATATCTGAATCAAACATATCACTACATTCATCCCGCGAATCTTCTTCACTAGAATATTCAGAGTTCTCATGTACAGATTTATCAAGTTTTACAAAAGCAGGCATAAATATCCTGTCATCATTTGGGTCAGGATCTCTTTCAGTTTTGTTTCTAGATGGAGATTCTATTTCAAATTTGACTGGTCTATCAAATTCATCTCTAGTAGGGGTTTTCTCAGCTGATAATGGTATTTGATCTAATGAATATGCAGTATCGTCAATATCAATACTTACAAATGTAAAATCTTCACCTACACATTGTTCTTGACTTTTACTCGCCCGTACACCTTGACAGTCTTGACCTATTTGTCTCATTTGTTTTTGAATAAGAATTTTTTCAGCACTCTTGCATGTAATCAAACTTTTAACATCATGCTGATAAACAGGTGACATTCCACCAGAATCTGATAAACTTCTCTCATAAATGAGTTCTGGGGTTAGCTCCCCTGAAAAACTCTCTGTTGAAGAGATATCAATGCTACTAGAACTAGAACTATCTTCTTTCAGGAGAGGTTCCACTTCTTGTTGTAACACAGTACTCACAGAAGTTTCTGATCTTAGATCAGAAGGTGTTGAAACAGTTGATACATTATACATAGCAGAAGTCTGAGACCCTACCATATTTCCATTCCCAAGTAAATCATCAGAATCCACTTCTGACAAATCAGAAACACTATTAGGGTCATTTGGAAGTTTTTCTGGTTTTTCTAATGTGCCAGAGTCTGAATGAATGACCTGCTCCTCAAAACCAGATTCAGCAGATTCTTTACGGTTCATAGAATTTTCGTCATCATCTTCTAATGCTTTAGATATATTATCCATGGTAACATTATCATTTGTAATGACTGTAGCACCAGTAAATGTTGATTGATCAGGAGAAGAAGCAGACCTTTTGAAAGCCTTTTTCTCTGCATTTAAATCATATGGAGAACTATCAGAGTGGTGTCTTTCTAGCCCTGTACCATCCAGTTTCCGTAGTTTTAATGATGGATTTTTCTTGATTATCATATCACCTGTCATAAGAAATGCCTCAAAACCTTTTTCAGGAGGATTCTTAAGTTTACCCTTATCTATAAGAAGTTCTTTGGGGGCTGTAGCTTTTGGCACTTTTGATAGAGACTTTGGGGACTGACTTACAACTTTTTTGTCTAGTTTGACACCATTTTCACAACCATTGGACTCTTCACTGCAATCTTCCCCTTGTATAATCGGGACAACCACATCTGCCCCACATTTTCCATTACGCATCACTTTAGGGGAGGATATAGATTTTGGGACAGGTATACGTGAAGGACCATGTGGTATACGGTCAACCATGTTTTAAGGGCAGGGAGTAAGACAGGTTTTACAGATGGTGTTTAATGCTAGGTTGTAGCTAGTGTGTATAGACAGTATGGAAGTACCTTGGCTTCCCTTCAGCTAACATCCTCATTTTCATGACAGTCCTGAAAATATAACACGTACAATAATACACAGATGCTGACAAATAAAAATAATGGTACTAGACATGGTAAAGAGAAATCATCAAGTTATTCAAAATAAGATCATTCAAAGTACAAAATAAATGTATATCAGAGCATAAGATACTGAATTCTGGACTGACTTCTCTTAGTGCTGGATAATAAACAGCATTGTTTCTAAATACAGGGAGAAAATGAATTAAGAGACTCACTGACCTTGATCTTTGACCTTTTTATCTGAACATGGGTGCTGCATGCAGAACTCATTAAAACATATCCACATAATTCTCATGTTTTAATGCCATAATTGAAGTTATTAACACTGTCATGTGGGCCATGTAAAATGAAAAAAACTGCATTTCTTTGAAAAATGGAGCTAATTCTCTTGTTGTTGACACCATAAATAGCCAACCCCTTAATGTGGGTTTTAATCCTGTATGGGTTATAGACTCATTTTATGTAAGGAAGAAACATATACCCAGTTAGCATAAAGAAGGTTAAAGATTTTACCAAGATCCCTACTCATGCTTGAAATTGCTGGATTACTCCTCTACTAGTCAACATGTAAAAAATGTTAGAAACTTAACTTTGTTTCTATTTTTTCTTTTACTTCTGTAATTTGCTGTTCCATTTAAATGCATTAAACTTGTCAATAATTACATAACAAATTAAAGGGAAAACTAATCTAAAATCTCTGTAGGTATCAATATTTCCAGGACAATTTTCCTCACTCCTGGGAAATTTTAAGTAAATGCAAATGCCAGAGGACATTCTTACTTTAGTTCTTTTGTCAAAATTAGAAGAGACCTCTTAAGCCTGATTACTAAAAATAATTTCAGTGAAGTGTGGTTAAAATCTACCATGTTGTTTAAAGAAATTGTAGTAATAGATAAGGGCTGTCATTGATGGACAATAATTTTGTATCGATATATAGAGACAAATATCGACGATATATCGACTTTAACAGTAGATACAATGAAAAACATTTAAGTATGTGTTTTAAATTGGGATCATGGTGTTATGCATGCTTGTATTCGACATTACAAATACTTCAAACTAACAGAAAGTTTGTTTTTTCTGTTACTTTTGTCACTGACATTTGAAAACAGAGTTAAAAGTTCAAATTAGCCAAGAAAACTGGAAAAAAGTGACCTCTTATTAGGCAAAATACAGAGATATATTCATTTACAGAAATAAATAAATTTTAGCTTGTATCATTATTTGAAAGTGTATATCGATGTTGTATCGGATGATGAATATCTATGATATATCAATATCGTGATATTCAATGACAGCCCTACAATAGATGGACATCAAGCATGGACTTATCTTGAATTTGATAGCTAAAAACAAGTCACAACAACGTTAAATCATAAAATCTACTAAACCATTAACCAAATATTTCAGATCAAGTCAAAATAAACAAAATTATTCATATATAAAGAAATCTATGCAAATAGGAAAACATTTCTGTTGAAGATTTTATAGGTATCAGATACAGTTAACCCGCCTATCTGTCTGATGAAAGCTTTCAAAAACCATGTCAAATTATAAACAGAAGAAAAAACAGAAGTTTCTTACGTATTAATTGTTTACATTTTGGCTGGCCCTCTGTTTCTCTCTACCACCTCAGACCTGCAATATAAGACAATAATATTGTTACATGAAATGATAATTATCTCTGTATATCAAGTTTATTTTGGGGATGCACTATTGGTTGTTACATATGGTTCTCTGCGGCTTCCCTGCAATAATTAATAATAAATTAATTATACATGTATGTACATCTTATATGACCACCAGCTGGTATCCCTGATTACCCTGGCCACCAACACTACAAATTAGAAAATTGGCAATAAATTTATAAATAATTCACCCACATGTTGCATATATCAACAATAACTGCTTACAATTCCGAGGAAGATATACATATATTAAATATGTTAACTTTTAAAAACTGTCTCAAATTTTAATTTTTCACAAACAGGAAAATAACTTTTGATTACTTTATTACAGAATACATGAATAGGTAAATTATAATATGAAACTACCTTGTAAACATGACTTTTATTGAAACTTTTTTAAGGAAATAGATCTTGATTTTGAATGTATTATTGTAGAATATTGCAAGAATAAAGAGGTGCTATGCTCATTAAGTTAACCACAAAGAATTTGAACATCAGAGATCAATTTCTGATTATCATGTAATAACTCACAATATTCACTCAAACTTAACATATATAATTATATCCATTCTCACATGATTCCAGAGACATAATACAGATTGACATTTCATGGAGAAGAAATTAACTTAATATCCTTTATTGACATTATTATCTGATTTTGTAAGAAAGTGTCAACATTATTTTTTTCAAACTGTGCTAGATTGAATGAGAATTAATGTACTAGTTGTTTACTTACATGGCTAAAATATTATACCATCATTATTATAATCACGAAACATTCCATAATATGCTGAACTGTTTTTAAACTGCTTTCTCCCAAACAAATTATGTTAAACATATCCAAACTTTAATGACAAACACGGTAAACAGTCAAATTTTTCAGTGTCCTTATTCAAATTATGTTGGCAGACTTTTTAAGATATGTTAAATATTCATAAATAAATAGATAAAATAATAACTAATATATTGGTCACAGTAAACACAGTGATGGTATGTTTGTAATTATTATAGAGAAAAGATGGCAATATGGTAATTACTGAAGTTCCAAGAAAATGGTTAGAGATCACTAATCTTCATTAATTAATATTCTCTGGCAATTAGTTGTATGTATAAAGTCATAACGAGGGAGCTGTAACGGCAATTAGTTGTATGTATAAAGTGATAACGAGGGAGTATGCTGGGAATGAGGAAGTCATGGAAATCATAAATGACAGTGATTTGTCTTCACTATAATCAACAGTAACTCTTATGTTAAATATGTATTTTTTATAATTGGTATAAATGGTAAAATGGTATTTAGATGAAAAAACATGGGGAATATCTTGTTATTGTTAATACTAGTTTTAAAATTACACCACCATTGTCATTCCTTTCCTACCTAATTTTTTTTATTAATAAATCTAAAAATACACAAATTATTTTATTAAGCTTAATTCATATTCATTCAGAATGTTTACTTCCATTTTTTTTAGGAAATTCTATCTATGAAATTTAAATCTAAACTTAACAACTGACAGTAACAATATTCTAACTGAGAATTATAGACACATTTGTCCTTAACTTAATATATAAGTATGCAAAAATATTTAAAAAATGAATATGCTCTTCCCTATTAAAAAAGCAAAATCCCAGCTGATGTGTTTTCAAAGTCTGCCAGTGTATTTTAGTAATTTATATTGTAATTAAGTGATTTATTTGATTTGAATTAATTGAATCAATATGACTGTAAAAAGAATGAATGATATTGGAATAAAGAGAATCCTAAATTAATCATTTTATGGAACCTAGACTGTCGGAATGGCAGTTTTTTAATATACATGTATTTGAAAACTTCAATATGTTTACAAAATCTCCTGACTGTAGCACGATTGATTGTAGACAAAAGTAAGGAAAGCAGGTCTGTGGTTGATTAGCTCCATTATTAATCTGGCACACACTTTGTTTTTTCTTAGTGTTTTTATTTCATGATCAATAATGTCTGTATTATCCTCATTCACAATATTTCTTCATATAAATTACCAATCTCAGCATAGCATTAGATCAGAAACTTGTCTTATTTTAGTATAAAGCCTGAAACAGTTTCAGTACACTTCAATGAAAAAGAATCTTCTGTTACTATTTTCTTTCTCTGAGTCTGATTTTGCTTATATAAATAAAATATTAAGTATAAACATTCTTCAATGATTAATGACAAAAAATATACATGAACTGAAATTACAATACATCCTCATCATTAATGAACTAGTAACAGTAGATCTTTATAGTAAAAATATGCTTGAAACAAACATAATTCATGAATAAAATTTCTCTTTGTTGTGATATATGAGAATGTAAACATAAACCAAATTAGTATATACATTAACTTATTCTTCTACAGAAAAACTCCACAGATGTATTTGAAATAAATCAAACCTGTATCTATGAGATTCATCATGTGTTTGATTTATCTGGCATTTACAGTAAAATAGTGTAAGTTCCCACAGGAAGAATATTAAAGGCATGTATTATGCTTAAAGCAAAACAAGTTCATACATCTGCCTACCTCCTTTGAAAAACATTTATATAAAATATCTTATCTCTGTGTATTTTCCTATCAGGTGTAAGTGTTGTAAATTTTTGGAATCGTAAAACCTGTAAAATCTGCTAAAAATCACCGATACCTTATCTCAATTTTACCAGAAACAACCTTCAAACTTCCAACATACCAATATCTTGAAAATATATACTAAAGTTTAAAAAAGAAACTGATAAGTCAAATGTTTTCTAGTGCCTTCATCAGGTTACAACCTATTCCAAATAGGGTTCAGTTTTCAAAATAATCTTCACAACTTTAATGTTAATGTTTTCACAGCTTTCAGAAAAACAATATGGGACTCTGTGAGCATTACTTGTCATAAGGGAAGACTTATAATGCTATCATCCATGTAGTCTTTCCAGACCCAATAAGCAACTCGGTACATACTAATCCTAAATTAATCATTTTATGAAACCTAGACTGTAGGAATGGCAGCTTTTTAATATACATGTATTTGAAAACTTCAATATGTTTACAAAATCTCCTGACTGTAGCACGATTGATTGTAGACAAAAGTAAGGAAAGCAGGTCTGTGGTTGATTAGCTCCATTATTAATCTGGCACACACTTTGTTTTTTCTTAGTGTTTTTATTTCATGATCAATAATGTCTGTATTATCCTCATTCACAATATTTCTTCATATAAAATTACCAATCTCAGCATAGCATTAGATCAGAAACTTGTTTTATTTTAGTATAAAGCCTGAAACAGTTTCAGTAGACTTCAGTGAAAAAGAATCTTCTGTTTACTATTTTCTTTCTCTGAGTCTGATTTTGCTTATATAAATAAAATATTAAGTATAAACATTCTTCAATGATTAATGACAAAAAATATACATGAACTGAAATTACAATATATCCTCATCATTAATGAACTAGTAACAGTAGATCTTTATAGTAAAAATATGCTTGAAACAAACATAATTCATGGATAAAATTTCTGTTTGTTGTGATATATGAGAATGTAAACATAAACCAAATTAGTATATACATTAACTTATTCTTCTACAGAAAAAACTCCACAGATGTATTTGAAATAAATCAAACCTGTATCTATGAGATTCATCATGTGTTTGATTTATCTGGCATTTACAGTAAAATAGTGTAAGTTCCCACAGGAAGAATATTAAAGGCATGTATTATGCTTAAAGCAAAACAAGTTCATACATCTGCCTACCTCCTTTGAGAAACATTTATATAAAATATCTTATCTCAGTGTATTTTCCTATCAGGTGTAAGTGTTGTAAATTTTTGGAATCGTAAAACCTGTAAAACCTGAAAAATCACCGATATCTTATCTCAATTTCACCAGAAACAACCTTCAAACTTCCAACATACCAATTTCTAAAAAATATATACTCAAGTTTAAAAAAGAAACTGATAAGTCAAATGTTTTCTAGTGCCTTCATCAGGTTACAACCTATTCCAAATAGGGTTCAGTTTTCAAAATAATCTTCACAACTTTAATGTAAATGTTTTCACAGCTTTCAGAAAAACAATATGGGACTCTGTGAGCATTACTTGTCATAAGGGAAGACTTATAATGCTATCATCCATGTAGTCTTTCCAGACCCAATAAGCAACTCTGTACATAGAAAAATTTAAATTCAAAATTAACATTATTGTGTTCAGATGCAAAAGATTGTGATATAATTATACATGCAACAAAATACATGTTGAAATTAATATGGATGATAAAAAAGGTAAATATGCTTTCATGTAACAAATTGCATTTCTTTTCTTCCCCTAGACATCTAAATCTTCATTGTAGATTCACTAAGTATTGATCTCGTTTAGAAAGTTCAAAACCTTCATTATAAGCACTACATGAAATTTAATCATCCCCTCCCTGTGAGCTATTGAAAAGTTTACTTTATTTAAACCAGTGGTAGCAAGATAAAATAATGCATGTAGTTGGTTGGTACTATTGATTCAATGGTACCATAATAATTTAATAATGTAACATGTCACAAATGTAGTATGTCCAGGTTAAAAGAAATGTATGTCTGTATTCTTCATAACCTTTCTATTAACAAAAAAATCTCATTCTGCACAAAATATATATATTTATGCTATGTATAAACTTTAAGTGAACAGTTAAGCGTTTGACCTGACTGAAATTGTGAAGGAGTATATTAATGATATCAATAACAACTGTAACCTAGTAAAATGTAAGCTAGTTTAAGTGACAAAGAATTATACATCTACTTGGGAACTCACAACAGATATTGCTACCCTGACCCAATCAGAAGTTACCAAGGTACTGGGAGTTTCTATTTCCTCATATAGCAATGGATTACATTTATCCAACAACTTGTCAAACAGTTTATATACCACACAAACAATATTATATACTGACCAAGACCTCTGGCTCCA